TATCTATCTATCTATCTATCTATCTCTCTATCTCTCTATCTATCTCTCTATCTATCTATCTATCTATCTATCTATCTATCTATCTATCTATCTATCTATCTATCTATCTTTCCTTACCTCTCTCATTTGCCTCTCTTGTGTTTGAGGATAGATACAGATCGTCCGTCCACCCACATAGAGATAGTCGGGATGTTGGTGTGGCACTCGTACGCCTCAATCTCAAAGAGCTGAGTTGGTTGGAGGGAGTTGCAAGGTTCTTTGTCTCTTTCCTTTACCTCTGTTGTTTCTGTCTCTCCCGCTTTCAATGAATGGTTTCTCAAGTAATTCTTATACATTTTTAATGTTTTCCCCTTCTCTTCTTCCTAATTGGAGTCTGTGTTGTAGCTTTAGGTGCTTCGCTGTCGCACTCAGATAACCTGAGTTCGTTTCCTGAGTGGGGAAAAATTATCGAATATCTCGGGGGATCTTTACGCTGGGATGTTATATTATCTCTCTTAGCCCTGATTGGCCCAGACAGACAAGGTAGAAGCCCGCCTCTTAAATGGTCGCTTTTGAGGACAAGCGGGCAAACCCAGATTTTGGGGGTTTCCAGAAATCTTGACCTACCTGTAGGAGAAGTTTGGTTTCATTGGTGTGTATATTTGTTTCGTTATAGAGAAAACTCTCCTTGTGTTTTAAAGAAACGGAACAAGGATCCAAAAACTTTACTTCGATTTTCTCAAAACAGCGTTTTTGGAGATAGCCCCCTTAAGCTTAAAATCAACCTAATCTAGATAGTGTTGAAAGGGACGTAAAAGACAACTATATTTACATGAGTTTTCTCTTCTCCCCAGCGTGGACCCTCACTCCCTCTTCTCCCTCCAGTTCACCGCCCCCGCCTCCGTCATCATCGACCCCATCATCACTGTCGTCATCTCCGGTTCTGTGTACGTGACCATCGCCCTGACCATCGACCGCTGTATCGGGGTCGTCATGCCGCTCAAGTGGATGTCCATCTGCACCAGGTTCCGGATCAAAGTGGTCCTGGTAGTGGTCAGTCTGTGGTCAGTTCTCATCAACTCACCTCTCTTCGCCGAGCTCGAGCTGAAAAATGTGCACCTGAAGAGTCTGAACGAAACGTACCTGGTGCCCAGAGAAACAGAATACAGCCAGACGACGTTCCACAACGATGTCTACCTCCGCTACATCGTGCCGGCTGTTACCATGGTGATACCCGTGACGCTGATTCTCGCTTGCAACGCCATTATCGTACTGAAGATAAAGTTTGCCAGAAAAGACCTCGCCAGCTCACAGCCAGCTGATGCACGCGCGAAAGAAGTGAACAGGCTCACTGCTCAAGTTTTGTTCATCTCTCTTCTCACACTGGTTTCCAGAATCTTTCACGCAGCCTCCTACATCATGATGGCCCGCGAGAACACGACTTTCGTGACGTTGTGCTCACTATCCTGCGCATGCGTCGCAGCGGTTTCATCGTTCTTTATAAAGGTGAACGCAGCAGCCAATTTTATCTGCTACTGCTACTTCGGGAAAAAATTCCGCGCAGTTTTCGTAGCAACATTTCCATGTCTTCGATGTCGGAAGCGAAGAACGGTGTTGAGCAAAGCATCCGTACAAGGTCCCGGTCATGGTCAAAAGTATATCCACGCTATTTCCCATTCACATTATAAGGGTGAAGGCCCAAGTTTGGCTCGTGCTTCGTCTATGGGTCAGGGTATCTCTCTCAGCTCCAGCGACTTTTCTTCTCAGAAAACAATGTCCACGGAATTTATAGACAGCTAGAACAACAATAGTTGACCTAAAGAACAAAATATTGAACTTGTTCCCAGCCTCGGAACCAGAAACCGCCAGCGCTTCTGATGTATCGGTTACTAGGCTCTTTGCCGCCGCACCCAGACGACGTGAGTTCGAATCCCAAGTGAGGAGTCTTTTCTTTAACAAAAATTGAAATAATATAGTTACTCCCATAATTTGTCTGCTTGGATGTTGTATCCCTCTGAGCCCTGAATGCCGAGGTCGAAGCAGGAGGCCATTTTCCTGACTGATCCAAACTGTGTCCATGGGGCCTTAAGCCATCTATTGTTACTGTTGCGATAGCCAGAAATTCGGAGTTCATAAATATTCTCATAGATACAGAGAGCTCAAAGAGGCTGCGCCTACGCAATTGACAATATGGGTTTGGTTTCAACCACTTGACTTTATGTTACGGAGTATCCCCCACCCCCACCTCCACCCTCACCCGACAATATATCCGACAAAATCCTGTCTGGCCCTGACAGGCAGGTTCGGAGCAGCCTGCCTCCAAAATAAAGTAGGCTAAATGGTGTCGATGCAGGCCTAAAACTTTTTATTAAGTCAACTGCCAAAACTAAAGCAATACAACAACTCCCTGGACAGGGCACAACTCGCTTTCAAAGTGGACAAGACTTTGGTTCTGTCGTCAGGTTCCAGGGGAACTGCCACACGGGTCGCCCTGGTTCGAATCTGTGCCTCAAAGAGGGTGCATTCTGGGACATTGGTTGTTTGTTTGAGAACGTATCACGCAGGGCTCTGCAACTAACTGCTCAGATGGATTCAGTTGTTGCAGGCAGACGTCTGCTTTGCAGTTGTCAACTTTTAGTCGTCAAATTTGCAGACGTCAAATCTACAGACATCAACGTTGGAGACGTCAAATCTACAGACATCAACGTTGGAGACGTCAAATCTAAGAACATCAACTTTGCAGACGTCAAATCTAAGAACATCAACTTTGCAGAAGTCAAATCTAAGAACCTCAACGTTGGAGACGTCAAATCTACAACATCAACTTTGCATTTGTCAACTTTGCGGACGTCAACTAAAAAAAATATTTTTTAAATTAAAAGATTAAAAAAGAAAACAAAAATAATAAAACATGCCCAGCGTGTGGAAAAAATGTGTGTTTGTACGATTTCATTGTGTTGGTGAGTACTTAATTTGATTTATCGAGGATCTCCGTCTGTCTGTCTGTCCGTCTGTGTGTCTGTCTGTCCGTCTGTCTCTCCCTCTGTCTGTCTGTTTGTCTGTGTGTCTGTCTGTCTGTCTGTCTGTCTGTCTGTCTGTCTGTCTGTCTGTCTGTCTGTCTGTCTGTCTGTCTGTCTGTCAGTCTACTAGATTACTGTATTCCTCTGGGCCAAGGTTGGCCATGTCAAGCAAAACTTAAGTAGTCCGCTTCTTAAATGATCTAGACTGCGTTGATTATGGCGTAAAAATTTATACAATTATCCCACTTTGACACGTTATTATTTTTTAAACTTTGAGGAAGCGGGCTGCTTCGAGTATCTATATCTTTCTTTAAACTGTAGGTCTATTACGCACATCCTGGTTTTGACCGGGATGCAGGCCGTTTAATTATCTGTAGGAACAAACAAAAACATGAATTTAGAAGTCGTTCTTCATCGATCACCGTGGGTAAATTTGGTTTAATTGATAACAGCGTTCATACATTGATACATATTATGTGAGGCAACGTGGTTGAATCAGGCTCTCGTCAATTTTGGGGCATGTAGAGTTATTGGCATCATCTCAAAGCTTGCTCACTTGTCTTTATTTGGATGAAAAAAGTATCCATTTATCATTAATACAAGTCGAGATATTTACGAAAGAAGGAGGTGGGGGTCACCTGTTTTCAGAGGTAAAATTAGTGAGAAAATGGCTGCCAAAGGTTAGCTATTTCCTTAGCTTAAGAGTCTGTGGTAACCGAAAGTTTACATTTACTGTGCCTTTAATCAATGTTTTTCAGAAAAATCCACACAGAAATGAGTCCTTTAATGGGTATGAGAGTTATTGAGAAAAAAAAAAAAAATTTCATAAAAATTCACCAACCTGCGGAAAAATGCAAGTTTCTTCATTTTGATTATTTTGACGAGAGCCTGATTCCACCACGCTGCCTCACATATATCAAAGCATACAATGACACATTAATGTTGTATAAGCCACAGTATCACTCAGACAAACAGTAAACATTGTAAACATTCATAATAATATGACAATAATGTTATTTATTGCTGACCGCCACTGTACAGCGCCCTGTTTTTTCCGGTTAGTGTTGTCGTGTCTTGCTCAAGGACCACCCACATAAACGCTGTGCCAGCGAAACCGATTAAAATTTTTAATAATGATGATTATAATAGAAATACTAACAACAACAACAACAACAACAACAACAACAACAACAACAACAAGGACCGAGCCAAATACGAGTCTAGTAACCTAACCTCTAGGCTACCGACACCACCAAATATTCTGATGCAAGCGCAATCTATTTGCAATCAACTAGTTCATCTTTTACACATAGCGTACTTACACGCCTATGCTACAAGCAATGTGTCCAAAAATAAAAGTCCAAAAGTATACTCGGGGGCTCTGGTGGCCTAGAGGTTAAGGTGTTGGCCTCTCATTCAAAGGTTCGGGTTCGAATCGGGGTACCGACCAAAAAATGTTCTTCTCTAAAATTGTCTCCTTTCACCTCCTTTCCTGCTCTCTAGCAATGTTCTGTTGTCTGCTTTCATTTCCACTTTCTGCCCCCACCCCCTCACCTCCTTTGCCCCCTCCTCTGGGCTCCTGACTCTTTCTGCAGCCTTTCTACTGCTACTCCTTGGCTCCTCCTTACTGCTGTCTTTCTGCCACACCCCTGATCTTCTGGTAGGAAAGATCTACACCTAGCCTTCTTGGACAAGGGCGAAAAATCTCGGAGAGCCCGTGTGCAAGTTGTGCACGTTAAAGATCCCTTGGTGGTCTAAAATCGATAAGAGTAGGCTTCGGCCTCCAACCGGGCAAAATTCAAAATCTCCTACCAACTGAAAATATTAGGTGTGTCCCGCGCGCTCATATGACCTTTTGCAGTTGCGAGCGCCGTAAAACACTTTACAAAAACAAACAAACAAAAGTCTACTCCCCCCCCCCAAACCCCCACATTAAACGTGCGATATAATTATTGCAGTCTGGATCTGACCCAAAAAGGGGAAGTAATATCTAATAAGATTGTCCTTGTTTGTATTACCTACCATTCTAGTCCCGCATGTCAAATCAATCCGAATGCAAGAGCCAACTATTCTTAAAGGTCAGACGATAATTTGATGCTTGACCAGCGCTAAACTTGACCTCACGAAAGTTAAGTCCCCTCAAGAATGTCAGGAATTCACTTTGTATAATATGACAACCTTTAAAAAAATTTAATGCTGGACAATCACTAAAGACGGTGAAAATAAAAATAAAAGGAACAGAAACAGAGTTTCTTGTGAGTGTATTGAGAATTTCTTAGGGAAAAAATCAAACGAGATAGTTCTTGAAGAAGCCCAAGTAGGCCGATCGCTGATAAAAACAATTGAGAAAAGGAAAATGCGCTTTCTGGAAATCTTTAATAGACCCAAGGGCTTTAAGCATTTAGCTCTCTAACTGGTACAATTGAAGGTAAACGATTCAGAGGTAGACCTAATTCAACTTAGACTACTTGGAAAGCCTTGACAAACAGGTGATGTAGAAGGATTAGGATGATTATAATAGAACTTTTTTGAAAGCATCCGAGCAAAGGAATGAATGAAGAACCACAATGCCGATGTCTGTTACATATCTGGCACTTGATGAACGGCGATATAAAATGTGAGGCAGCGTGGTGGAATCAGGCTCTCGTCAATTTTTGGGCATGTAGAGTTATTGGTATCATCTTAAAGCTTGTTCACCTGTCTTTATTTAGATGAAAAAATATCCATTTAACTTGAATACAAGTCGAGGTATTTGCGAATGAAGGAGGCGGGGGTCACCTGTTTTCAGAGGTAAAATTAATGAGAAAATAGCAACCAAAGATTAGTTATTTCCTTAGCTTAAGAGTCCGTGGTAACTGAAAATTTTCTTTTTTGTGTGACTTTAATCAACGTTTTTCAGAAAAATCCAAACAGAAATGAGTTCTTAAATGGACATGAAAGGTGTTGAGCCAAAAACCAAAATATTTATATAAATACTCAAACCTGCGGAAAAATGCCAGTTTCTTCACTTTGATTATTTATTTTGACGAGAGCCTGATTCCATCACGCTGCCTCACATCTGGGCTGATTTTGTACTAAAAGTACACCCACCGTATTATTATTATTAATAATATTAATATATTAATAATAATATTATAAGCGAGGTTGTGTTAAATGTGAGTATAACGGTAATTCGTTTGAAATGCCACAAATAACAATCAGTGATTTTCTCGTTGACCCACAAAGAAATGAGGAGTCCACTGAAAAAACGGGCATAGTCACGAACTGGAAATTGTGAGGGCGTTAATTTTAAAAGCTTGTGGACTCATTACTTCATATTTGTTTGATTGGTGGTTTATTTTATATTATTATGTTTGTTGGATGTGAAATCTAACAACAATAATCAACCAACAGCTGAACAGAAATACAGAGATATGAGTCAACAAGTGTTCAAAATTTGATACCGTCACGATTTTCAGTTTGTGACTGTGCCTGTTCTCTTCAGTGCACTCCTCAAATATTATGATGGTATAAAGTAACCTTTATTAGTACATTGCACATCCTGCCGTTCCTTTTTCCACTGTAGCATCATGGTGAGTAGAGATTTGAGAAACTCGACGTGTTCGTTAAAGACAACTTCGAATATCACATCACCTCGAGTTTTTTTTTCTCTTTGCAAACAGAAAGTTGCTATCTTAGAATTACAAAGTTCTATCTCCTCAGCGCCTAGTTTTGGGTCGGAAATTTGACATAAAACATGTTTGAGTTTCATAACATGTTAGTCATTTTCGAATTTAACTCTTTGAATATCTTGATAACGACTTGGAATAAACTTACGATTTTGATAGAGCAGATAGAACATTAATTGGTTTTTGACAGGAATTTGTTATTCTAAAAGTAGCGAGGTTAAGTAACATTACGTGACGTGAACAAGTCATGTGATGCAGTGCGCCTATAGCAAGAAGAAAGTTCTTTATCTTCCAGTTCGCTACGACGTGGTTCTGAGAATTGAGACGCGTAAACCCTGTCTTCTATATTACATAATATATTGTTATTTACATGTATTGTTATTGTAGAGATTTTATCACCCCCCCCCCCCCCCCCCCGTCCTCTCCCACACGAGTACACACGGTCAAACAAAACCGAACATTCGAAAATCATATGACTTAATACATCGTGTTGCAAATGCTGTTAAACTTTCAGTTAAACCAAAAGACCAAATCGCTACATAAGAAGTACTAAGTTCTATCTTGCCACACCTGATTTGGAGAAATTTGAAGTTAAAGCCGGCCAAAGAAAAAAGGAAGCGAGTCCGAATAAATTTACAATTTCGATAGTGCAGATTTTAAAATTTGGTCTCTGACCTCACGTCAGTACCTCAAAACGGCCAAAAAGTGCAGAGAGAATTTTGTAATTCTGAGGTAGAAAATTTGAGCCACACCTGCATCTGTGGTGTGATACAGACCTCAACATAAGTTAAGGACCACTTGCACATTTGGTAAAAATTCCCCCAAGATTTCCGTGCTGCACGTGGTGGTTTTGCCCCTTTAGGAAGTTTTGCAGTACGCATTGGTAACCCATTAACACTTTCACTGCAACACATTTTTATACATTCCTTCGGATTTAAAAAAAATCAGGACTGTCCGTCAAGGTGGTCCTTAACTTATGTTGAAGTCTGTCGTTACATTTGTGCCGTTTCAGACAGAAGGCATTAAGTTCGATTCACACGATAGGCGAAGATGAGCCCACTCAGCCAGGGTTAACCCTGACAATCAAGACCAAAAAAATGTTTAATGTGCCCCGCGCGCTCATATGACCTTATGCAGTTGCGAACGCCGTAAAACATTTACAAAAGAATTTTTTTTAAAAAAGACCAAAGCAGTCTATTTCCTGACATACCTTGATTTTATCGAGAGCGACGTAATAAAATCATAATCGAAGTTGCCGTGTGACTATAAACCACAGATCATGAAAATTCTTTTTCATTTCTGATTGACAATAATGAGAGTAATATACGAAAGCTGGCGTGGCAATACAGCATGGATACTACCACGTCGTCACGTATTGGCGAACAGAGAGTTAACTTAACTAACGTCACGTCATCGCAGTTTTTTTTATAACAAAGAATAAAACCACGCCATCTCGTTTTGGTTAACTGACAGAGCTAACAAATATCACACCGTCTATTTATTTTACAAACATAGCTTAAGATATAACCACGTTGTCACGTTTTGGATAACAAAGTATTGAATAGATGTCACGTCGACATGTTTTGACTACCGAAGAAATGAGTAAACACCCCATCGTCATGTCTAGGTTAGTAGAGAGTTGATTAACACCACGTTGTCACGTTGTTGTTTTTCCTATCAGAGTATTGAGTGACGTCACGTCGTCCCACATAATCAATTAGTTAACACCACGTCGCCACATTTTGACTAACAACAAAGAGTTAATTGACGTCACATCGTCACATTTTTTTGATAAAAAAGAAATGATTACCACCACGTCGTCACGTCTTGACTGACAGAATATTGGCTACCACCACGTCGTCACGTCTTTGCTAACAGAATGTTGGCTACCACCACGTCGTCACGTCTTGGCTAACAGAATGTTGGCTACCACCACGTCGTCACGTCTTGACTAACAGAATGTTGGCTACCACCACGTCGTCACGTCTTGGCCAGTAGGGTGTTGAGTAGCGCCACGTCGTCACGTCTTGGCCAGTAGGGTGTTGAGTAGCGCCACGTCGTCACGTCTTGGCCAGTAGGGTGTTGAGTAGCGCCACGTCATGAACAAGCGTCACGTCGGCGCCCGCACGTTTCACCAGCGTCTGGCAGCAGCGTGCGTTCCGTGACTCCACGGCGAGGTCCGTGGCCGTGGCGCCGGACAAGCTGTGCATGTTCACGTCCACCTTGCACACCACGCGTGGGCAGAACAGCAGGATGTCCACGGCGTCCATGTTGTCGTTGGCAACGGCGTGCATGAGGGCCGTGTAGCCGTTCTCGTCCATGAGGTTCGTATCACACGCGCGGTTTCTCACCAGGATGCGCACGGCGTCACACTTGTCTTTGTCCATGCTGGCGTACATGAGCGCTGTCTTCCCCTTCCCGTCCCTGGCGTTCGGGTCACATGACTTCTGCTTCAGCAGCATCCGCGTCACGTGACTGCAGATGGCGCCGGAGAGCACGTGACACACGTAGACCAATGGCGTTTGGTCTTTCAGGGAGCGCACGTTCAGATCGTCCACCTGTTGGAGAAGTTTCTCGATGCGGTGAATTTTGCCGAAGGAGATGGCCACAAACAAAGCCTCCTCCTCGCTAGAGAGCTCCATGGTGTGTTTTGTCGACTTCTGGTTTCTGCTAGACTTCCTACTGATCGAAGAGAAGGGACTTTTCCCTCTCACTCCCTTCGCAGCTGAAAAAAAATAATATAAAAAAACAAAACTATCAATGATTGAATCAATCAATCAATCAACCAATCAATCAATCAATCAATCAATCAATCAATCAATCGATCTATTACTCAAAAAATCAATCAAGAAATCAAGAAATCAAGAAACCAATAAACAAAAGGAAGTAAATGCTACAATAAAATTGTGTTTTTAATGCTGGGTATTTTAAGTTCCCATCGACAGAATTTAAATCATTTTGGAGGTGAGCTGCAACCCTGTCTGTCAGGGTCAATCTGAGCTGAAAGGCATACTATATCACGTCCCAGCTAAAAGACCGAAATACTCGACTTAGTTTTTTCCGTCGAGGGAATCGCACGTTAAAGATCCCTTGGTAGTCCAAAATGGATCAGGGTAGGCTTCGGCCGCCACCCGGGAAAAATTCAAAATTATTTCCTACCAAATTGAAAACGTTTAAGGTTTCGGATGCGCTCAAAATGACATTACGCATTTTTTTTTCTAGCGCATTAAAACACTTTCCGGGGTTTTTCGTGGTCTAGAGGTTAAGGTGTTCGCCTCTCATTCAAAGGTGCCGGGTTCGAATCTGGGTAGAAACCGAAAAATTTTCTTATCTAAAATTGTCTCCTTTCCCCTCCTTTCTTGCTCTCTATCAATGTTCTGTCGTCTGCTTTCGTCTCCACTTACTGCCACCACCCCCTCGCTTCCTATGCCCCCTCTTCTGGTCTCCTGACACTTTCTGCAGTCTTTCTACTGCTATACCTTGGCTCCTCCTTTCTGCTGTCTTTCAGCCACAACCCTGATCTTTTGGTAGGAAAGATCTACACCTAGCCTTCTCGGACAAGTGCGAAAAGTCTCGGGGATCCCGTTTGCAAGTTGCGCATGTTAATGATCCCTTGGTGGTCTAAAATCAATAAGAGCAGGCTTCGGCAGCCACCCGGGCAAATTTCAAAATTTCCTACCAACTGACATATGTTTAATGTGTCCCGCGCGCTCATAGACAGTTGCGAGCGCCGTAAAACCCTTACTAACCGCCCCCCCCCCCCCCCCCCCAAAAAAAAAACCACTTACCAAAACAAAATAAAAAACTGAACTCGGGTCTTCCTGCATGTGATGACGAAGCGTTTGCGTGCGTGTGTGTGCGTGCTTGGGTACATGTATGCGTGAGTGCGTGCGTGTATTTTAGGTAATATTTGGGGTTGAGGTCCGATTACGTGAACCGCGGAAAGTCGACTCTTCAAGGCTAGATGTTTGGCACGGAACATGACGTGTGGATTCGTTAAGATAACTTTCGTAACTCCAAAGATCGTATATAAACAAGATAGCTCACTCCTCTCTTTGAGCGAATTAAAAAAGCATCCTCAAAATTCGGTGGCGCCCTCTTCGAAAAAGTGCGGACTATGCAAACAGAGTTACCCTACTTATGTGAAAAACTATAAAAGTGAAACTAACAAATTGTGCTATTCATATTCCTCTTCTGGAGAAACGAATGAGAGCTTCAAAACAAAGACTGCAGCGCTATCTAAACCAAAGCGCGGACTTCCGCAGACACTTTTTTGGCTGAGTGAACTACAAGTATCTTGTTATGTACGATCTTTGGTAACTCTACACAATCGATTCTTGGCCACTAATTGCGTATTTTATTGATGTTTCTCACTGTGTACCAGTGGGTTCTTTTAATGGGTGAGCAAATTATAGCTTTCTAGCTCCCACTCTCTACTCTTTCTCTTTCTCTTTGTATATATGTCTGTCTGTCTGTCTGTCTCTGTCTTTTTCCTTTTCTCTCTCTCTCCCTCTCTCTCTCTCTCTCTCTCTCTCTCTCTCTCTCTCTCTCTCTCTCTCTCTTTCTCTTTTGTTCGTGTTTTGTTTGGTTATGCAGCTTTTGTTTAATGTTCCTCTGACCCCCTCCTTCCTTTTTCCCCCTGGGCCTGCCTCTTCCACTGTTTAATTTTTTTTTTGTATTTAGATTTTTTATCAATTGTATGTGAGTGGGTTGTTGGCGGGTGCCCTGGTGTGGTTTGCTTCTTATCGCCCTTATCTCCCCTCCTTTTTGTGGCACTTATATGACCTTATTGTGTTGCAAGTGTAGCAAAACACCTATTGAAACTTTTTAAAAAACCCAACTAATTGTATGTCAATCGCGAGATAGGGACCTTAGACATAAGTTGTTTTTTTTTATATTGAAAAATGTGAGCTGCGCTGACAAAATGAGTTACTTTTCCATTTTAGCCTTATGGAACTTGATACATCAACTTTATAGGTGAAATTTGTACAATTTGTAAGTATGTAAAAATAAAAGACATGGTAGACTTGAACAAAATGGCATCAATTAGAAATCTATAAATCTGACTGCAGCGACGATTTTCGGCCCATATCTCCATGCTTGGACAGCGAGAAGTAACTCATTTTTTCAGCACTCCTCACAAATGTGTTGTTTTTTTACGAATGATGTCACTACTACCTTCATTTGGGTCTCGAAGAGAGTAGTCGAGATCAGACCCGGACGTGGGTAGTAGGACAAATTAAGTTCCGAGTAGTTTGGGGCTAAATTAGACCTTTACCCAGTCAGTATACCGGCTGTCACAGAACTAGGCCAAGTACTATGTGGGATAACTCTTATCTTAAGCATACGGAAGACGATTCCGCCTTTGTAGTTGTCAGGTTTATCATCCGGTTTTTAGCATCACACTCTCTCCTACAACTCGGATGCATGCCAGTTTATCACAGGCCCAGTTTATCACAGGCCCAGTTTATCACAGACCCAGTTCATCACAGGCCCAGTTTATCTCAGGCCCAGTTTATCACAGGCCAGGTTTATCACAGGCCCAACCCGCCTCGACTGTGCCCTGCATAATGGAAGTTATCGCTGACACTCTCAAAAAGAGTAAATGAATGATTTTTTTTGGAAATGCGTTATATAAATGTTATATATTATTATTATCATTATTATTATTATTATTATTATTATTATTATTATTATTATTATTATTATTATTATTATTATTTATTGTTTCTCTGACCCCCTCCTTCCTTCTTTTCCTGGGCCTGCCTCTTCCACTGTTTAATTTTTTTTTGTATTAGCATTTATTGGCAATTGTATGTGAGTGGGTGGTTGGCGGGTGCTCTGGTGTGGTTTGCTTCTTATCGCCCTTATCTCCCCTCCTTTTCGTGTGTTGTATGAATTACTTTTTTCAATTGTATAACGAAAGAACTTTCATGGCTTAAATTTTACAGAGTAATTGCTTTGATATGCGAACAAAAAGGAAGAAATATTGAACAACATAAGCTGAATTGACATTACATTTAGAGGGACTATCTCTACACTACCAGTTTGAAGGTGGAGAATAAAAAACTGAAGTTACAACTGCAGTGTTAAAGAGCTGTAAATATGACAATCTGGGCCTGTGACAAACTGAGCAGCCCCCCCCCCCCCCCCTAACAACTCAACTCTTATTTCACTTCCGACTGACCGCTGTTAAAACAAGACAAAATGACATCGCTCTTTTTAATCTTTTCAGATGTTTGCACATGAGTCTAAAAGTTGGATGACCTA